GGGTCGCGACAGCTTGCCGTAAGCCCTCACCCTGCCCGAGCTATGCGCGTATAGCGCTCGGATAATATATGCATTTTACCAGGGCACACGTTTCCATCGCAGTCTCAAAGGGCACATCGATCAACCGAACCGAAGTCATCTTTGATGTTGGGGAACATCATAACGGTGGGCCGTTGATAGATGTGATGGTGCTCCAACAATTGACGCAAGCTGACGATCTGATCGATGCAGCCTCGATCTCGACGAAATCCTGCTTGCTCTTCACGAATCTGAGTTTCACGAGTGTCAGTCAGTCCATGGAGCGCGACAAAGGCTAGTAACTTGAAGGCAATTGAGATAAGACTGATTCCTCTATGTTTGCCGCATTCCGAACATGAGTGTATCTTGAAAATTTTGACGACAAGGAGCGGCTCCAGTCGGTTGCGACAATTTCCTGATCCTACAGTTTCACTAGTAACTCGCGTAAATCATCGACAAGAGCAAGCCTTCCAATTTGAAAGGGGTTAGATGAAGATAATCTGGTCCCGCGATCTTATTCAACTTCAGCAGTCCGATCTCACGTTCGAATTCTGAGGGAAAGGGCGGATCCAAACGGACAGCCCAAGGAGCAGGACGATCACTAGCCAGTGAGAAATCTAACAATTTCGATCGAGTAAATTGCCTTTCAAAGTGCTCAGACCAATACTCCAAGCGTTTTGACAAGTTGTGAATTGGCTGTCGACTCTGGTCACATATAGTTTCAACAACACTAGGTCACCTGCTGCTCATTTCCCGTGCCAGACCAAGCGCAGCAGCCACTTCCATCTAGGACGCATGATGAGATCACCAGACTTCGCGATCTCTCTTCAGGCTAGTACGCAGTTCTGCCCTGAGATCTTTGCGAGTCTCACTGTGTTCGCTTCTAGGCGGAATGTGTCGGCGAGTATCGATAAGTTCCGGAGACTGCGAAGAGACCCAATGTCCATGTTGGCCAGTAGATTTACCACATGAGGAGTTGCATGCTGCTGGTGGTTATAGGACCAGTGACGTCTAAGTGTATTCAGTGAGCGTTTCCTCACTTCGAACGCTAGCGTAGTTCGATATGCACTCAAAGCATCTGGATTCGCCAGCTGGCTGATGTCTACGCGCTCACAACGTCGTTGTGGGCTTTCGTCAAAACACACCTGCAGATCAGCACATACAGGTGCTTGGTCAGTGTTCACAAGTGCTCTAAATCGAGCGATAGTTATGGACGCAGAGTGTACAACGGTAACTGGTGGAAATGTGATTGATTCGCGTCCAAGGCTGGTGGGCGGCATGTCACCTTCCGTTAAGTGATTTGTCGTAAGTTAGTGCTCGCAAGAAAAAACAAGCATCTTCACGCAAATGAGGCAACCGCTCACTGTAGTCATTACGGGAGCCTACATCATGGTGGCCGCCCAGCAGTGGATAATTTGCTAAGTTGAGCGTTCAGATCCCTAGCCAGCACTACAGCATCCGTGCTTCTACTGTGATGAAGGAGCTGGTTTATTTGGCGATAGAAGTCGTCTTCCACTCAGACAACGCTACAGTTTGTGGGCAATAATGAGAAATTGACATCTAGCAGTGCCGTGCGAATTTTAAGCTTTGAACGAGTCAGCTAGTCAGATCGCACGTATCCGGCTACTGATTAGGACCCAATCGACCAGAGCAGCTTCAGTCCAGGGTCTCAAGACAATACCAACACGGGCTTGGCCGGCACACGAAGTTGCATCGTCTCTGGATAGGGGAAATGAGAAAGCTTGCTAGTGTTCCTTGAAGGAGATTGCAGAGCGAGCACCGAGATTGAGTCTTGCAAGAGGGTTTCCGATAAGCAGCAGATATCGGTCGAGAGGGTCCTTAATGTTCGGGCAAGTGCTGCTTGCTGACCGATCAGTAAGAATGTGTGTACCTTGAGGCATGTCAACCTAAGGGAGGATAGAAGGGTCTAAATAGAAGCCGAAGAACTGGGTATGTCTGCTTGGTTGGACATGGGCTTGTCGACAGGGCAAGAGTGACACTCCTCATTGGCGTGAGGTGAAACTAAAAGATAAACGTCTATCAAAACAAGGTGGTGGAGGGCCGAGAATAGGACAGTTGAAAACAGGGGGAATAAAAGTGAAGTCGGATCTGAACGATAAGAGTGAAAACGCGTAAGAGAAGGAATAAGAAGACGAGAAGGCTTGAATAGTAACATCCAAACCCTTATCCACGTTGCTCGATGCAGCAGATAGGGCGCCGTGTATTATCCTCTGCGACGGCCAGAGCATCAAAAAATCATGGGGAAAGAAGTTCACAAAATTTTATTGCGTGGGCATGATACTGCCAGACTGCACAGGCCTAGATAGGAGAACGATCCGGGTTCCCAATCATAGCCACTGGTTTAAAAACTTGACCGAAAGGCAGCGAGTTTGGCAGTGGACTACAGAGAGTATGGAGCCATTCTCACTTCAACCTCCAACCTAGAGGACCAGTAAGCTGAGTTTGTTTGGCCTCTAACCATTGGCCAAGCTTGTATGAGTGACGATGAAGATGCGAAAAGCACCATCCAGCACAGCTCAATGAATCGCTGAGGCACACAAACCATTGCACCACAGTGACGTCCAGGATCATTGCGATCGTTTGACGACACTTGCTGAAGTTGAAAGCATAACGAATGACAAGTTTTTAGTAAGGGTACTTGACGCACTTAGTCCCCATGACATCACTGAGATAACTGTGACATTAGCAAACGACAAGTCCCTTAAAAACCTGACGATAAACTTACCGATGAAACAGTACAGAAAATGATCATGCCTCGATTGGCGTGTGTCGCATAGTCGGGAAGAAAACTATTTATTTAGTTAGGTCAGACACCGTTCCGATATGTTGCGGTGTAGATGGATTATAAATAAATAAATGTTTTATTCCTGACAGTGCGGGACACGCACTGTACTTACCGAAACTACAGAAAAGGCAGACATGAGTAACTAAAGTTAGAGAGCTTAGACAGAGTGATCTAGTTCCAATTTGTGATTTGTGCCCCTCAATAGGTCTGTGGCCGAAGGCAGTCGAGGAACAAATCTTGCAAAGCAAGGAACAACTGGTTCGGCAAGCACTGTTGTGGACAAGCAAATGGTAGTCAGATAACGCCGCATGTTAGAGGCATGCAAGGATGAGGATGACGAAGCTGTAGAAGCCGCTAAAGAGTATAGAAGACGGCTGAGGAGTGTAAAATGTAAAGAGAAGTTTGATTACTCAGTCAAACTGGATCAACTATTTTAGAAGATGATATACCTATTCTCAAACGCTTCACTTATTTCCTTACAGAAATTTAACATGGTTACTTCGAACACTTAGATTATGAAACTCTTTACGTTTTCACCTTGCATAACTGGCATATCTGGGACCCCTCAAGGTCAACTATTTCACCCTTGATAGGCTGTCGATTATCAAATTGCTAAGCTGTACCGTCTCTACACGCCATCGCAGGTCTTTCAGTCTTCGCCTTTCCTCATTACGACTGCAAACCTATTCGTAAGTTGATTACTGTGTTTAATTTGAACTACGGAACCCGATTACAGGAATTTACACTTTATTTCCTTTTGTCCATACCGTGAGTATAGTATAGGTTCACTAATCTACAGGTTTTCTAATCCGTCTCGTGCGGTTACTTGGTCTAGGCTTCGTATAGTCGCTACATAGGCTACCTGGTGAAAGGCTAGGTGATCTTGATTATGCAGACGATATTATCTTGCTTTTTTAACAATGTTGAGGCGGCGCAATTAACCCCGAATAACTTCTCTAGCGGTTGTTACAGGACCACCAGCCACTTGATGATCTATTGACAATTCGTAGCGAGTAACTCGAGGAAGTTGATCAGTTTACTTACTACGGCATTTGCATCAATAACGATGGGCGCATAGACATTGAAGTCTGTTCACATACTGCAAAAGCTACAGGTTCTCTTGACTCTGTGAGTACTTTTGTGTCAGGAAATCATCGTCCTTGGTCCGAAAGTTTGTGTTTACAAGGACACAGTGAGGGCCGTGCTATTCTATGGGAATGAGACTTGGCCCCTTCGATCTGAGGCGCCTTCAAGTCTTTGATCATCGTTACTTACGAAGCACTGCTGGCGTCGGATGGCAACTAGCTCGTTCGCAACGACTATGTGTGTGGGCGAGTACTAGACAGTGATAGTCACCCCAGTACCTTAGAACAACAGCTAGCACTGAATAAACTGCCTTGGCTTGATCACGTACTACGTATGCTCGGTCACCGTTTACTGAGGGCCTTGTTTTGTTTGCCAAATGTAGAGTGGCGTTAGGCCCGAGGTGGGCAAAATTCAACTTGGGAGTGAGTAACGAAATCACCGACGACCAAATTGAGTTCCGTCGATCCGTCTAGCCTTCTAAGTTGGTGTCCATGTGACCAGCAGTGTGCTTGGCTTGAGATGATACAGTACATGACTCGCAGTCTGCACCAGTGGCGCGTCTGCTGCCGTCTCTTAGCCGGACTGCTTGTTTGTTTGATACTGAGTTATCTGAAAGATACTAAAGGCTGTCTCGCCGATGCCGCATATCCTTGTACGATAGCCAGCTGTTTGTGACGGTATATGGTTGACACAAGGTGTAGGTGCTTTGAACTTGAATGGTTGCTTAGGGCACTAAGGTTTTATGCTATGTCCCCCCGCTCTCCCTGTTATTACTGTTCATTCCGCAAGTCGTTGTGGTTGTACGCTGGCGAAGCATCAGCGCAGATGCGTTTGTGTATTGCTGTTGTTGATTATTCTGATGATGATGAGTGGATAGACAATCGAGTTAAGTGGGCGCGTTAATGGAGAAAGGTTTGTTATATTAATGATGTATTTATCTCTAATAAACAGAAATACGACCCCCTTGAAGTGGTACGATGGTGCCGCATTGCAAATGCAGATACAACAGGGTGAGACAGTAAAAATGCATGGCAGACTGGTATTATCAGAGCACTGGTGGTCAAATAAAACGTGTTGTTCAATCACTCACCCACTGAATCAGTAAGGTTGTAGGACAGAAGTGAGCTCGGAAAACTCGTGGCGTTAGTAACCGCTGCCTGACTGTGCCCTCTGGCGGCAGATGCGGCGGCCAGAAGCAATAAGGTCTGCTGAAGTGGAGGTATAACGGAGTGAACGGGATGGTTCGTTACTCGAACAGAGGGGGTGGGAACTTGAACTAGACCAGGCAGTAAGGATTGCGGAACAGTTAGCGTCATCTGTGAACTAGAGCTGATCGACGATAAGGATTGGAGAGCAGGAGAGCCCAGGGGAAACGAAGCCTGCGAACCAGCTGGAGTGCCATTCAGACTGAAAGCTGCGAATGGGGTCGTAATATGGGGAATTTGCACTGTGCCAGGAATTTGAGCAACAGTGGAATTGAACGGAACATTAGACGCACGATTGAGCTGCAGTGCAGTTAGTGGAAAAGAGACTGGCTCATTTTGACTGGCAATAATGTTCATAGTTGTGCAGTTGCCTTGGGCTCCAGGCGTAAATATCTGAAAATGTATAGAAGACAGGTAAGGTAGCAAGTACTAGCAGATCAGAGGGAAATATAAGGAATACAGAGCTCGACACATGTGACATCGCGGTGGCGAGGCAGAGGATGGGAGTTGTGTCGCTGGTTGCGTTGGGAAAGAAAGAAATTACAACAGGCTGGCTAGCCGAACAACCTCCCCTTGGTGCCAGTTTGGTGGTTCAGGTTTAACCCGTTCCAACAAATAGTTCGGCAGCAGTGTTCCACGACGTGGTGGGTTTTCGCTTGGCAAACGGTCTCCCTATAAAAAGCCACAAATGTGCTTAACAACACTGGGACGTGGCGGATGTGACTCGTCACTAAATAAAGCCACTGCCCAAGCTTACGTTGACAAGCTTATCAAATCCACAGACGTCAAACATTCCTTCAGACACCGGCGACGCGATCGAACTCATCCGAAAGAACAGCAACACAAGTACAAACACAAGGAACACACCTACATTTATGGATCCACATATATGAAAATCCTATTAGACTATTGCACATTTCTTGATCAATTGTTGTACTATTACTATGATCATGCCTTTAACGGCGTGCCTCACGTAGCCAACAATAAAAATTTATTTATTTAGTTAATTAACTCACGCAGGGAGCAGAGCTGGATATCGCACCGGAACAATCAGGCAACATAATCGGGGCGGAAAGCGCCGGGGAAAGCGTTGGCGGAGGATGAAACTCGGACGGTTGAATGCTTAAAGGTTCCTCAGATACGGGAGGTCCGAAGTCTTTCAAACAATTCTGAGAGAAAGACAATAAAACAGTGGTATTGACACCCGTATAGAGTTAAACGCGTCAAGAAAGAGTGTACAGATGTTTCAATACGGCAGACTGTAGGTGGAATAGCCTCAGACAGGTGGCTAGACTGGTATAGACCAAGTGAGACTCGACGGGAAGACGAGCACGGTAGTAATCAAGTCGGCTTGGGAGTGTCTTCAAACGTGAAACAAAGACACACCGAACAGAGAATAGAGACAATATAGACATGGGATAAATGGGATAATTAAGCTATATTCGCCGAGACAAAACGTCGCGGTGGCTTTAGAAAACCACGACGATTAATAAATTTTGAGCCGACATCGCTGATGCACAATGTGAACGTGTAGTTAAATCAGGCTTGTTGTTGTCGCCACTAAACGATGTGGCCACGCTACAAAACGTTCCCTTCCGAGTACGTGGTAAGACTGGTTCGTGAGCGTCTGCGCAGTTCGACAGTACTTTAGCTGGGTAACACAACTATAGTCTAGGTATCCAGATACCGCAACGAGCATGGTGGTTAGGGTCGCGACGCATCCAAATCGGTAGCTGAATCCAAATTTGACCTATGGAAGACAGTGAGTTTGCTAGCTGGTTACAAAACCAACCGAGCTCAGAAAATAGGTAAGAATAAAGAAGTAAAATGTAATGCCGGTTAGAAAGTTCAGCAGCAAAAAGCAAGTACTTTCACTGGCATCATAGATCGTCTGGGTTAGGGGTGAATGAAGACGAGGAACCCATTCAGGAAAGCAGTAGGCGTAAGGCTAACTAAGATATTCGATCAAGTTGTTCACACACATATGCAATACCATGGATCGAACAGACGCAGCGATGTCAAATAATGTGCATTGTGGTAGCCGGTTTATAGGAACGCGCAGGTTGCGCGGTCAGGAGTGGACGTCGAACGATTCAGTGTAAACGACGATAAAATATAGAAAGAATGCAACATATATAAAGGCAAACTGAATACTGGTATAGATTGCTGGATAGAAAAAAGGTAGCCTACATGTTCGAGATGGACAAGTGATTAGATGTAACTGTGAACCTACAACTTGCTCCCACGAAATGCAACGTCCTTCTCCAAGATTGGCAGGGAGCAACTCCTGCGCTGACCCTTGGTGGTGATCAGCTATCAGTCGTTCCGCGATTCAAGTACCTAGGCAGCTACAGTAGCGCCGGTGAGATTGAAGATGAGGTCGCGAACCGCACAGTAAAAGCTTGACGCGCTTTTGCCAATCTCCGTCATCTGTGACACCGACTCGATATTACTCTCGCCCTGAAGAATACAGTTTACAATGCAGCCGTCCGTTCAACCCACTTGTACGGTTGTGAAAATTTGCCCATCAACTCAACAGACACAAATAGGCTATCTACGTTCGAGCATGTCTGCCTTGGCAGCTAACCTAATGCCTGATGGGAGCACGTCGTGAGTAAAGAGCTTGTTAGGCGCCCTGTATTTGGTACAGGAAGAGGGAGTGAACCGCTCAGCACCGTTATATCACGCACCAGGCTCCGATAGCTGGGCCACATGTTGCGCAAGCTAGCCCACCGACTCCCGCGTCGTGCGTTGTATGTGCGACCGGGGTCTGGATGGAAGAAAAGAGGAGGCGAAGCGAGGACTTGTTCAAGAGGAATGAAGGCCCCCACTTCGAATTTGGCGTCGGTTGGTATGTCCCGGCTGTCGGGCTGGAGACCGAAGGACGACGAACACTCTTGGTTAGATACACTTGTTGATATGTCGAAAAGCCGGTTCCAATGACGTTTGCGTTGAGTTTCTTTGTCCATCCCTTTCTTTTTAGGCTTCCCCTCCAATTACGATCTCATACGAAACGCATAATATAAATAAATAAATAGTGTACATTTATTAACAAACGGTACACGGCCCCATAAGCGGGAGTGATCATTCGTAGAGTGAATAGGTTGCATGGTTTATGCAGTAAAGTGAAGTAATAGAATTTCGGGTCATGATTTTGCTCCTCGGGTCCTAGATCCGAGTACTTAACGGGTAAAAATTACCGATATTTGTATCATCATTCTTTAGTTTGTGGGCTTCAGGAGTAGATAATAAAAGGGAGGGGATACTAGGCTGCACAGACACAGGATTTGGTATTGTAGGTAATGACATGTAGTGGGTAAGCTAGTTGTAAGTGAATATATATTCATATGTTTTTTATACCAGCTTCTGTCAATGTTACTAGCGGTTGCTGTGAGTCAAAGATCCTCGACACATTTGATATAATGAGGAATGCCTGTAAGGAATTTCGAAATGTGAAATAGCTTGTGCTCATGCGAATGTGTATGGGTAGTTTGTTCCACAGATCAGTGTATCTCACTAAGAAGAAATTCAATCAAGTTTTATGACTTATAAGCTTTGTGCGTAGCAAGTAGCCGCCATTACGTGTGGGGTAGAATGCAGTCTTCCGTAGTTCAAGTGCGGTGCTGTCTGCGTAAATTCGTTGGTTTATAATGTTGTAGAAGAGGACGAAGTTGTTCTTTAAACGTCTCAGCCAAAGAGGATCCATTTGGAGTTTTCGACAGCGATCATAATAACTCAGGTTTGAGTAGTGCCCAATGACCAGCATGGTAAATGATCGTTGGACATATTCCAGAGCCGTTCTGTCTTTCTTTCTCAATTGGCTATGAAAGATAGTACAGTATTCCAGAGTCGGTCGTACTATTGTCTTGAATGAGTCAAGGCGTGCTTCAGGTAGGGAGAAAGTTCTGGTGATATATCCGCATAACTGTCTTGCTTTCGCAACCTGATAAAGCACATGTTCGGGTAATTTGAAAGAGTTGCATATTTGATTCCTAAGTCCCGGACTGAATCAGACGTTGGGATCACGTTTCCTGCAAATGTGATAGAGCCTCCTGGGATGCGGCATCTGTACCCAAGTACTTGGGATTTCACTGCGGAGAACTTCATTAATAAACGTTCACTAGCTATATTTAGTGCGGATAGGTCTTCACAGATGTTTCCCAGGCACATTTGTAGTTGGTCTCGATGGAATGAGTAAACCAGTTTGACGTCATCTGCAAACTGAAATGGATGTCCATGTCTGATCAGGTCGCATATGTTGTTTACATAGATTAGGAGAAGTAGTGCTCCGAGCACACTTCCTTGGAAGACGCCGCAGGGTATTTGTTTCGGTGTAGAATATTGCTGACCGATTTTAACTACCTGGGTTCGACCGTTTAGTTATGAGGCGAAGCAGTTAAGGAGAGGATTTCCAATTCCATATGACTCTAGAGCAGACAGCAGTGGCTTGTGTGGCATGCGGTCGAACGCCTTTTGCATGTCCAACAGAATTATAATGATTGCCATTCCTCTGTCAATCATAGTCGTGACGTGATCGAGGAATTGTAGCTGACAGGAAACGCAGGAGCGTTTTGAAAGTCGTGTTGTGAGGGTTGATCAGATGCAATCCTGTAAGATATTGAACGATGTTCTTCTTGACTATTCTCTCTAGGGTTTTGGAAGCAGCAGAGGTGTGATTTATTGGGCGGTAGCTTGAAACTTTATTTCTCGAGGCACCCTTGTGCTTAGGCATTATAATGGATTGCTTCTATTGAGTAGGAAAGCAGCCGGTAGTGAGAGAGTGAAGATGTTTAATCACAGTAGAGCGAGGTGTTTTCCTCCGAGTTTTAAAACAGTTGGGTAGATGCCACCTGGGCCTGGACGGGTTGATGGTTTTATGGATGCGATGGTACTTTGTCACTCTCTTAACGTCACAGGGATATTGCATTATATTACTTCCCTTTTGATGTTTTTGGTAGTCTGTAGTTTTCAGTCGCTTGTCATTTTTTGTATTGCGGCACATCAGCTGAGGTGTGCTTCTCACCCACACCTAACGTGTATCTATATTGTTAATAGACCTCTCCTCCCTCGGTGAGTCCGTAACCACCGTGGATTTTGCATCGCATTCCGTTAACCTCATGTTCGCTTCGTTTTCAATCAGAACAAGCCGGATTTTTGTGTGTGATACGCTATTAGTGTCAAATGATAAATCTAACCGCGATGGGCTGATTTACTACAAGTGAATATCCGGAATGTTTCCCTCGATTGACAGGTACAGAAAGTCAATCGAAGTGGAACGCGAATGTGTGTGTGTTCGGTGAACGTATGCCCAATTTTAACAGCTAAACCAGAGAAAAGGTTAACATGAACGGATAAAAATGCAGCAGTATGGTATAACCCAACTGAGTTATTTGCTGACCTTATCAGACTCTGCATCCAGATTGGGGGCCTGAGAAGTGGTCGGATGAGCATCGCAGTTCATCACCGAAAAGCGCTTGGGGCAGTTTTCTGACTCGGTGCTTGCGGCTCGCTTCCTTCGCCTCGTTCCCGTTTCGGACCGATCATCTGACTTTTCCATCGCCATTGCCAGTCGAGCCTGACAGAGTATGTCCCGTATACGTCTTTGAGTTTCCTGATCTAACCGTGAGGGTAGTCTGCGAGATGATGATTCATTATGGGCATTAGAGTCCCTCGTAGCAACCTGACCATTGGCCAATGAACAGGTTCTCCACGCCTCTTGTGTTTGGCGATTCAATAAATCCGGTTCGCTTGCGAGATCCGATCCAAAGGGAGGCGCAGATGTAAAGGAATTCGGGGAAGCGTAGACCTCTGGTGGAGACGCAGCGACTGGTTCGGTCCGACTGCAAAGTTCTTCTAACGCCTGTTCATTGCTTGAAGTGCCATCTGTGTTGCATGGGATCGAAGGAGAGGCTTCATCGTAAATTGACGATTGCTGGCCGCCATGCGCAGGACAGGTACTGGCAGAGGACGGGGAACTCAAAGATTCTACAATAATCAGACAGGCACAATCGGCATGTGTCGTTGAAGTGAAGAGGGGGAACGGAAAGCATAGTAGCAAGTGGATCGGAGCAACCTACCTTTAATAAAATCAGACTGAGATTCTTTGTTTAGCCAATCATATAAACGTTCGTAAACAGAACGTGCATGTGGAGTGAGTTGGTTCCAAGGCCTGGGTTTGCGCATAATTTCACCTAATGCCCTTTCATTCACGCCAAGGAATTCACGGCCAAGCGTACGCTGCGAGATGTTCAATCGCCTCATTCGATCCCGTATCGACTGGATGAAAGTGAATGGGTCGAGTCGAGACACAGCTGAATCCATAACCACACTGGAAGAGGAGTCCTTGTCGGACGAAGTGGAGAGCCCAGCATGAAGAGTATCCGATGGGTCTGATTTGATGTGTGGCGGATCGGTTGGGAGATGGGCAAAATTGGACGAAGAGGTGGTTAGCTCCAGAGCCGACGACAGTATCGGAGCAGCGATTCCAGGGTTCGATGAAGGCAATTCCTGCATGCAATTCGATGGGGTGATAGTCGATGCAGGTTCGTAAGCAATCGCTGAAAAATGTAAGGAGATGCTGGATGACTAGAACATGGCAATAGATCTATAAATTATGTCCAGTGATAGCGACAAATTGCGAGGGGATGCGCCACTGTTAAGGACAGCCACAAGTCATGTGGCATGATACTTCTCTTGCGGAGACACGACGGGTAGAACTTGCAAATCTGCTATGGGACCCCTAATTTTAGGATTTTTGATAAGTCAGGGAATCAAGATCACTTCTAGCGTCACATCTAGGGCACCATAAGGAATTGAAGGTGAGTCCCACTGAGGCAGTATAAGAGATAACAATAATTGTCATTGATTAACACGCTTAGATGAGCGGGGGTAGAAAAAGAAACGAACGCACTAATGAAGTAAAAAAGCTACTAAGGCCGAGTAAGGATCACAAGTAACCGGACGCAGTAAGGACACGAATGGAGAAAGTAGCGGAATTGTGACAAGAGAATAAAAAGGGAAAACATACATTCTGTGACGACAGTCGAGAGAGCAGTGGGAAGAGAACCTGCCCCAGAGATTTGCTGGGAATTGCCAAATGGTGCCATGGAGAAGGTGACAGCAGGGTTGTAGCTAGTGGGGACAGCCACCAGCGGAGTACATGTGGATAGTGTGTTGAGGTCGGAAGAGGTTGCCTGGTTGCTGGGAGAAGAGATGAAGGAAGCGAGGAGCATCGTGCGGAGCGACGTGAAGGCATGTTGAACAGCAGTAAGTTGTCGTTGCAAAGATGCCACTTCCTGAACCAGGTCGGAATACTGGAAAGAAGCGGACGACCAGCGGTTAATACCGAATACGAAGGTAACCGTGGCAACCGCCATAATGAAGACTCGAAATGTTGTGCAAAATAAAGGTAAACGCCAGTAAGTAAACGAATATACGAGAGCATCGTTTGTAGTCAAAATGACTAACGCTTTGAGAATCGGTTATGCGTGAGCGTGGTGGGCACTCATGTGATTCAACAGTGCCAACATCTATGGACCGGGTCGGAGTTGACTCTATGGGTAAGCGCACAAAGATGAAATTGGCCGTGCAACTGCGAATCGAACGCTGTTGAAGCGAGATAGATGAAGCTGCCATAATGCAAATATAAAACATAAAGCCAACAGATGCGAAGTGTATATCCACAGTTAGAAGACCGGACCTAAATGCTGTGCGGCGTTTGTGTGCCTCAACGATCCAATGAGCTATGCTAAGTGGTGCCTTCTGCACTTTCAGAGACCCTGGCACCACACTGGCCAATGGTTAAAAACCAGACCAACTCAGTCTCGTGGCCCTTCAAGTTTAGGGTTGAAGTGAGGGTGGCACCTTACTCTAAAAAACAGATTATGCAGCCTGTGCTTTGACAACCGCTTGTCTTCTCGTCTCGACTCACAAGCAGTCGCAGAGCGTTGCTCCGGCCCAGTCCACAAGCCCATGTTCAACTAAGCGCAAAATGTCAGTTCATCTGCTTCTATTTGGAGCCCTGCTGGCATGATTTAGTGTATCCACTTCGTTACAGCCTGGTCCAAAGACAGCACTTGCCATAACACCAGAGATCTTATTAATCGAGCTCTGTGAGTCTTCACATACGCTACCACCACTTTCTTGTGTTTCTCCGAAGAAGACGCGGATTCAAATGCCGATCATACCGGTGTGGGCAATGATCTGAGCTCCCAGGCTGTAGCAGTCCTGATCCAGTGGATAGCAGTGAACAGCCGGATGTGCGCTATCAGACTGGCTGGCTACTTCAAATCTTCAAAGTCGCACACAGAGAAGCGGTGTCTGCTTGTCACTGAGGCCTACGCGCCCACAAACTGTAGCACGAACTCGGTGAAAGATGCTTCATTATACAAAGTAGGGCTACCGTGGTGCTGGCTAGTGATCTGGACGTTCAAGCTGGGAAACAGACCACAGATGGGCTGCCTTTGGGCAGCCAACACGTTGTAGGCTCCCGTAATGAGAACGGTGAGCTGTTGCTACCCCTGTATGAAGATGCACGTCTCCCTCTCGCGAGCACTTACTTCCGACACAGCCCCAGAAGAAGTGTGACAAGGTGCCAACTAGCTTCGGAGCAGCCACGGACTGACATCGATCACATCGCGATCAGTTACCGCTGGAGTGGCTATGTCAAAGATTTTCATTTGATTTAGAGCGCCAGTGTGGACTACAACCAAACACTTGCAAGGGTCGATTTTGGAATTCAATTCGGCACACGCATACACCGGCGCTGTGAGCGCATAGATAGCAGCTAATTGGTGAATCCAGATTTTATAAACGCGTATCGAAAGTACTTTAACATCCGACCTGAGTGAACACAGTGGAAGATCACTGGTCACATATCAGCCAGACGTTACTATCAATAGGTATGTCTTCATGTTGCAGATCAAATTGCCAATTGGGTCTCTACACAGTCTCTGGGACTTCAAGATGTTCACCCTCGCGCTCCAGCTAAAAGGGAATATATAATGAGACTCGCAAAATTTTTAGGGCGAAACTGCGCGCTAGCCTGAAGAGAGACCGCAAAGCCCGGTGGTCTCATCGTGCACTGGAGATAGAAACGGCCACTGTCCTTGATAAACACCGCAAAATTTTCCGTCTCACACGCGAAACAGTCAGGAGACCTGGAGCTAGCCAGATCATACGTGACGAAGGAGGACGCCCAGTACACAGTTTGTCAAAACGCTTAAAGTGTTGGGCCGAACACTTAGCATCCTAGATTAATCAACCAGATATACCAGCTTCTTTATCGACCATTGGTTCTCTTTCTGTCTGGGCTGTCCAGTCACGCCCGCCTTCACGCGAAGTCGAACGTGAGATCGGACTGTTGAAAGTGAATAAGGTCGACGGAACAGATGGACCTCATCCAGCACTCCTCAAATTCATGGGACCTGCACTTATGAATTATTTGCATAACTTATAGTGAATTTGTGGGAGCAAAAGACTGCACCAACCAACTGAAGCAGCTCAGTTATACTCCAGATTTTCAAGGGAGGGGCTCCCGTTCGGAGTGCGGTAGCCGTAGTACATTCAGTTTGCCTCTATCGTCCTTCATAGACCGTGGCACATGTGAAAGCCAGATTCGTGAAAAGTAAGCCGATTTCCGTCGAAATCGAAGCAGTATTAACTACATCTTCACATTATGCCAATTACTGGAACATCGCCAAACTTATTGGCGATACACGGTAGTCGTGTTCCCGCATTGAAAGGCGCCTTCGATTCGGTGGATCGATGCGCACTTTGGGACGGCCTGCTCTGGAAAGGTGTATCAGAGAAATCTGTAAAGGCCATAAAAGAGATGCACGCGTATAGTTCGAGCAGACTAAGGACTTAAGACAAGCTGCCACCACTAGTCAACGTCTCTAGCGGTGTGAGACAAAGTTGACTGTTGTCACCATCGACGAATTTATGGAAAGCGCGTTACTGGGAACGAGCGATTCAATAAAATCGCTCTACAGCGTTGCGGGTAGGCTATTCAGCCAAACACTCGGGGTGGTGTCCCTAAGACAACTCCCTACCTCGGCTTGGGAAACCGGGTAGTACATCCCAAACTGTTATGGCTGCTACCTGTCTATGGCGATGAGCCAGACATCCCCAACGTTTTCTTTTATGAGTAAAGTCCCTATGCATGAACCTGTCTATGGCGACCACTTGTCCAAGGCATCACTTTTTGTCGGTCCCTTGAGTGGTTGCCTTAAGTTTGACTGTATCTTGCCCGCTGACAGAATCATGGATGTCGCATCTACTTCTACTATGTCGTTCTCCTATGCTCCTGACTGCTTACGCATCTCCATCATATCTATACTAACAATCGCTTCGTACTTACCTCGGATAACAGTCTCGCCCATGTATAAAGAGTCCGACCAGTGACCATGCTTCGTCCTCGATCTTCCTTTCGGCTGGTGGCCCTCAACGTTAGAACACTTATGTAGATCAGACACCATACCAGCCTAGTGCGCACCTTGGAGTTCATTGCTATTGATATTTGTTATCTTTTTGTGACTCGGTTACAGAACTCCAGCACCGTAGTTAAGTTGGCGTCCCCTGCTGATTTCAGGGCGAAATATTCATACATTTGTCTGGTGACACAGAGGCTGTTGTAGCTGGCCTGGCTGGTGTTAGCATTGCATTGAGTGATAAAGCTGAGACCTCGCTGCTCGACTGGTTCCCGATGAACAGGCGTTTGCGTGCGATACGACTCCAAGGCTCGTACAAGATCAAGAAGCTCCGTACAGGGAGACGCAATGTGTTTGTGGATTCAGCTTACCCTCCAACCGATTGCCGTTGTGCATCGGTTAAAGTGGACTTCTATCGCGGACTCCACCAGCTTCTGAGTAAAGACGAAAAAATCCATGTCGTCATCCTTGCCAGAGATTCCAATGCACGGGTTGGTCGCCTCTCGCCATGCGAACGTCATCTCGGTGGTCGTCATGCGCGTGACGAAATCCGTTTTTATAACAGAGATAGGTTTTTCACTTTATGTGAGGACAACCGGCTCTTTCTCGCGAGCACGAACTTCAGGCATTCGAGGAGACGCGCCGCCACTTGGCGTCACCCTTCACCAACACAAGCGTAGTCACAAACTGATCACATTGCAATCAGCTTCAGATAGCGGGTCCGTGCACAGGATTGCAGATCAATTTGGCCAACCTATCTGGACTCAGATCACGCTTTGGTCTGTGCGGGCATTGGCATGCGCTTTCGTGATTCCTCGAGAGCAAAGCATCTTACGCTGGATGCCAACAGGTTAGCTAACCACTAAATCCAATGGGCTTAACAATCATCCTTATCAGACGAGCTATCTTATGCCCCACCTACAGAGGTCGAACATCACTGGAATTTGAACCATTGAGTTCCCTGTACTAACTTGAACAACACAATACGAAGACGAATGTTGCAGGATGATACCATTTCGTGCCCTCTCTCCAATTGCAAATGGGTAACGTATCAACTGATAACGTGACAAGAAGAAATCAATAAGTTGAAAGCGTGGGATCACATGCAATCAAAGTAAACGTTGCTTACAGGTTGAGGAGGAAGTATGAACTCCAAGGGAGTTTGAGCTTAACGAACAGTTGCTTCTGGACATACAATGTTGGAGAATGCTTTTTTATGGCCACTGTCTCGACAAGCTTGAGGACTCTGGCGTTTGTGTTACGATAGATGACACTAAACACCGAATCAGGGTCCACCTGATGACCCGTTTCTATCAAGTGTTTCGCAATCGAAGGGGTAAGTATGTTGTTCGTCGATAGAGGTTCCGTTTTCGGCTGCCTTGTCAAGGTACCACTACGCTCCGGAATGTGCTCTCCAATCCGGTTACACAAGTAACGGTCTGTTCTGCCGATGAAACTGCTTCCACAGTTATAAATAAATCGAAAGATACAGTGCGTTGTGGCGGAGACCGACTTAGTAGGTTTGACTGGGGTCAGTGGTAGCTTCTTGGTTGTCCAGCGAAGGCAGAATTTAGCGAAGATGTCCAAGGCAGTGATAACACCTCTCTGATTACTGGAAAGTCAAGAGTTAGTCCCATATGAACCGCGTCAACACCAAAACCAGAGCTCACCGCCGGTGTACTCCCCGTGCGAATGGAAGCGAAGGTCACTGAGAAAACGAGTCGCCAGTGCAGGACAACACTCCGGACAGATTCGATGATAGTTCACAAGAAGCTTAGTATGGTCAACGGGCACTTTCCGACGTACGCTACTAACCGAGTCACTATTATACAACAGAATTCTCATTCGAGTAAATGGTGTTACGTAAATTCGAGACAAAACCTAACTGAGCTAGATTCACGAGGAGTTGTCATGTCACAACAGAAAGAAGTAAACACCTGGTTGCACGGTTCACAATTTCTTTTGGTCTACACCTCCGGAGAACCCAGGTAAATTGCTGCCGGAATGGCTACGGCTTAAAAGTGGTCAAGTCTGCTTGGCCAAACTGGAAGAACATTGGATAAGTAAATTGAAGGATTCCTCGACCTGAACTTCACTGCGTAAATGCTTTGCCATTTCGAAGCGGAGTTTCTGAAGAACATTGCGCCATACCAACCAGGTGCGGTATAAAGCGCTGAAATTCGTCAGGCTACGCTTCAGATTGTAAGACCGGTAAAACCGGAAGTCTTCGTAGAAGAAATGTCTGCTTTCAAAAGATGAGTCCAAAATAGCAGCACGAAAGCTGAAACTGAAGTGAGCCAGAGTGAGACGAGTTATGCCTTTCATCTGTAACGGGATAATTCGAGTGGACAGAAGACTGAATCAACTCTCGGTGTCTTACGAAGCGAGGCATCCGATTTTACTTCCGGACCGCCACTTTGTCACTCGACTTCTTGTACTGCATTATCATTACACCAGTGGACACTGGAGTTCCGCAAGATTAATGGATAGCGGGAACAGTTTCTGCAGTGAAACATGTGCTATTCAACTGTGCTAAATGCCGTAGAAACCATGTGAAACCATTGAGTCAACCGGTGGCGCCGACCATAACCGATAAGCGTCTGACCTTAAGTACAACACTTACAGTCGCTGGGGCTGACTACTCGGGGTCTATAGTGGTATGATGCGGCTGTGTGTATGGAAAGATACATGGATGTTTATCCAGTTGCCTGACTACACGAGTGGTTCACATTGTGGTTTCGCATTCCATGGATACCGATTCACTAATATGTGCATTTCCAAAATTTCCAGCTAGATGCGGTTGGCTGACTGTCATATACAACGATAAGGACGAAATTTTCGCAGGACTGAAGCTGAATTACGAATTCTCCTGAGGTAGCTGGACCACGGGAAGATAACGAACTCCATACTGTCAAGAGAGATTGATTGGAAGATTAATCTCTCTTTCGCTAGCCATCATGGAGGTCTTTAGGAACGACTGGATCGATCGATAAGCTAATTGTTGTGTAACATTCCCAATGGCGAGATCGTAGCAGAAGAAGCGCTTATGACGACACTTGATGAAGCCGAAAGAATATTGAATGACAAGCTTCTAGTATGGGTACCTGACGCACCTGATCTCCATGACACAATATCGCCGAGACGACTGTTGGCATTGGTGAATGGTCAGCCCCCTGAAGACCTAACGATCAACTTACCAATGGGACTGACTAGAGGATGGAGACAGGTAAGGCATCTTCCCGTTATGTTTCGGCGTAGATGGATTAAAGTTTACTTACCGAAAGTACAGAAAATGCAGAAATGGTTAGGAAGCATAGGCAAGATGACCTAGTTCTAGTTTGTGATTTACGAACCTCAATATGCCTGTGGCCGAAGGCAGTCGTGAAAGAAATCAGGCAAGGCAAGGAGCAACTGGTTCGGTAAGTGTTGATGAGCATAAGCTATGGTATAGTGCAAAGGGATGTCAGACAACTCTGCTTGTTAGAAGCATATAAGGGAGAGGACGATGAAGCTGTGAAAGCAATTGTAAAGGATAGAAGATCGCCGGGGGAGTGTAAAGTCTAAAGAGAGCTCCGATTATTCAGGCAAACTGGATTGCCTATTTTAGGACATGGCATACCTATTCCCGAACGCTTCACTTATTCCTTTACGTAAATTTACAGTGATTGTTTCGAACATTTGCATTATGAAAAGCTTTACGTTTTTGCTTTGCACCACCGGCATAGCTTTGACCCTTGAAGGTCACATTTTTCGCACTTGACAGGCTGCCGATAAGAAAACTGCTACGATGTACCGTTTCCGAACGCCGCCGCATCTTCCAGTTCCCATGATTTCGCAATAACATTGCAAAGCTATTGTCACTGTTTTTAATTTGAAGTATAGAATCACGGAAACAGGAATTTACGATTTATTTCTTCTGCCCATACAATGCGTATAGTATGGGTTCACTAGCCTGCACTTTTCCTATCCCGTCTCATGTGATTACTTAGTCTAGCCTTCGTATAGTTGCTACAGTGGTTATCAGCTAGAAGTCATTCAAAAATTTAAATACTTAAGCTGCTGTATTGGCGCATGTGGAATGATAAGTTCACCAACCGCATTGTAAAAGATTGAGGTGCTTTTGGCAATCGCTGTCACCTGTGGCGCCTCAATGGGTAGATTTCACAACGCAACCGTGTGTTCAACCCTTCTATAAGGTTGATAAACCTCGGTCGTTAGATCAACAGACCTAAAGAGGCGACCATTTTCTATTGAGAGTCGTCAGGAGCATGTACCTCATTGTAGGCTTAGAGGTCCGAGCGCATGGCCAGGCAACTCGCAGCTAGGACCTCACTCCACTTAGGAATAAGTGATGACGTTCACGAGAATAGTTGACTGCGCAAATCCCTCTACTATTTGACAATATAGGAGAGACAACTGACAAAAATGCAGAAATGTCCTGAGCGTCTGATATGGACATTAGGTGCCAGACAGAGGAACATACTGATGATCACCTTCAAGAGGTTATCACTGCACAGATCATCATTCATCATTATACACATCAGCCAGAGGTGGGAAAACACCTCCGAGATTGTGCCGCAATACATGAAAGAAATACATACATACATATAATACAATACACAAAGGGAAAATAGATACAACAGTTGCATGCCAGCTGAGCTACCAGCAACGGATAGGCATCGTTCCGGTAAGCTTCCAGCCAGCTACTAGGCAAAAAGAAAATTTTTTCTTATTATTATGTTTTACCCTAGGAGATGAGATCGTAAATGGAGGGGGAGGGACAAAGAAACTCACAGCACGAACGCCACTGAGGTCGGCTCCTAGCCATGTCAGCAAGTGTATCCAGCAAAACGTGTTCACCGTCTTTTGGACCCCAACCAGGGAGCCGTGAAGCTCCAACCGAGGCCAGCTCAGAAGTGAGGGACTTCATTCCTCTGGACCAAGTCATCGCTTGGTCACCTCTCCTCTTCTTCCACCCACATCCCCGGTGAGCAAACAACGCACGTCGCGGGAGTCGGTGGGCTGGCATGCGTAACAGGTGGCCCAGCCATCGGAGCCTGGTGCGGGAAATAATGGTGCTGAGCGGTTCAGATCCTTTTCCTGGGCCGTAAACAATGCGTCGAACACGCTCGTTGCTCACGCGGTGTTCCCACCAGATGTGAGCCAAACTGCGAAGGCACCGATGGTCGAACGTAGCTAGCCTCTTCAAGTCCGCCGATCTTAGGGGCCAGGTTTCGCAACCGTACAGTAAGATCGAACGTACCGCTGCATTGTACACTCTACCCTTCAGGGCGAGAGTAATGTCGCGCCGTCGCCATAGATGGCGAAGGTTAGCAAAAGCACTTCGAGCTTTCGCTATACGGTTCGTGATCTCGTCTTCGATCCCAAGGGCGCTGATACAACTTCTCTGGTAGTTGAATTTCTGAACGACTTCCAGCTGATCCCCACCGAGGGTCAGCGCAGGAGGCGATCCCTGCCAATCTTGGAGGAACGCTTCGCACCTCGATGGTGCAAAGCAAAGCCCGAAGCAGCTGACAGCCAGTGCTAATCTGTTCAGTGCAACATGGCACGTCTGGGAGCTGTCACAGATGAGGGAAATGTCGTCTGCATACTCCAAGTCAAGAAGTCGCCCTCCTGGGAGTAGCTCCACACGTTCCAAGTCATGTCCTGTAAATGCAATCTCCAGGACTTCGTCAATAGCGAAGTTGAAGAGGGAAGGTGACAGCGGGCATCCTTGTCTCACACCGCTGGAGATATTAAAGGGAGGCGACAGCTTGCCCTAAGCCCTCACTCTGCCCGCGCTACGCGCGTATAATGCTCGGGTAATGTTCACATATTTCTCGGGCACACCTTTCCTGAGTAAACAATTCCAAAGGGCACATCGATCAACCGAATCGAAGGCACCTTTGATGTCGAGGAACACGACAACGGTGGGCCGCCAATACGTGTGGCGGTGCTCCAACAACTGACGCAAGGTGAAGATGTGGTCGATGCAGCCATGATCCCGACGAAACCCGGCTTGCTCCTCCCGAATCTAGCTTTCACGAATGCCAGTCAGTCTGTGAAGAATTATGGAGGCTAGTAATTTGGAGGCGATGGAGATCAGACTGATTCCTCTATGGTTGCCGTATTCCGAGCGCGAGCCGCCTTTGAAGATGGGAACAATAACGGAGCGGCTCCAGTCGGTTGGGACAGTCTCCTGCTCCCACAGTTTCACTAGTAATTCATGTAAAGCATCAATAAGAGCAGAGCCTCCGAATTTGAAGAGGGCTGGAGAAAGATCATCTGATCCCGCGGCTTTGTTTAACTTCAACTGCACAGATGACTTCGAATCATAACATACGAACAACTGGGTGGCAGCGATAAGGTACATCAACTAACATCGCTCAAGCTATTAAGCTCCTTTATGCTCTAAAGCGGAAAGGCATCCCTTGCACGCGATAGGAAGAGGGCAAATTTGTATTCAGAAATAGTGACTGGCTAGTCAAGCAAGAAGTGAATATCAAATGACAAGTGCTGAGCAGAGTCAATGAATGAATGAATGAATCAGTGATGTTATTCGGGCGAAAGGGCAGAATAAAATAGCGAACAAACTAAAGTGGAACGAAAACGATCGTATGACTTGCAGTCCAGATCTCACTTTGGTTTGTAAATCAAGCAGTATGTTGTTGTTCATGAGACAATTAGGACACTTTTCGCATGTATCAGTTGTCGAGCCCGATGTGGATGAGTGCACAACCCCGGAGCTCCTGAAAAAGAGACAAGTGCATGATGAGTATGGTTCTCATGAGATCAAATCCATGGGCTAGGACATTTCGGAGGAAAAGTCCTATGATGAATAATTCAGCCGAACTATTCTATATGGCATCGGCGACATCAACATCATAAATACACACTAGCTGAAGATGAGAAACACACTTAACCTTCTGTGTTGCAATATATAGAGATAAGACATGTGAAAAAACGGATACAAAACACTGCAGAATACTGAGTTCCGCAACAAACATGGCATTTCGAGGGTGCAAAGCGCAAGCCAAAATGACTGACAGAAAGTGGTAATTCATCAAGTGCTGCTTGGCACATTCAGGAGCTGTCACAGATTAGGGCAATGTCGTCGGCTTACTCCAATTCAAGGAGTCGACCATTTAGGAGAAGCTCCACACGTTGTAGATCGTGCCCAGTAACGCGGTTCCAGGACTTCATCGATGACGAAGTTAAACATGAAAAGTGACATCGAGCAAGCTTGCCTCACACCGCTGTAGATGTTGAGTGGTGGTGACAATTCACTATAAGTCAACAGTCAGCTCGAACTACAAGGGTACAGCGCTCATATGAAAGTTTAATATTTTCCGGGTGCACCGTTTCTGAGCGAATCGAGCCACCGAATCGAAGATGCTTTCGATATCGAGCAACTATTGTGTCGTAACACATAAATAAAAAACAAAAGCAAAATAGTGGAAAATATAGATTGCGAAAACGTGACGCACTAGCTAGCAACATAGTATGTATCAACAGAGAGAGATCGAGGTTGCAGGGGGAAGATACGCGGGATGGGGAGCGACAAACAAACCCAAAACACAAACGACATTGAGGTCGGCTCATTGTCATGTCAATTAGTGTATCCAACCAGACGTGTTCATTGTCCTTCGGACCCCAGCAGAAAGGCATCAGCAGTACACCGGTAACCAGCACCGACGCTTCGCTGTCGCGCAACTACCAACGGTCGCATGTGGTCTAATGATACTGCAAGGGTCGTCCTGTCCCTACGCAGGCTCGAACCCGCGCCGTCAGATTATAAGCTCGTTACCATTAGGCTACGGGTCGACAGGACCCCAGCCAGGCAGTCGGGATACACCAACCGACGCCAACTACGAAGTGAGGGATTTTATTCCTCTTGATCATCGTTTGGCCACCCCTCCTTCCATCTACACTCCGGTCTCGCAAAAGACGCACAACGCGGTAGTCGGTGGGCTGGCATGCGCAACACAAGGCTTGGCCATCAGAGCCTGGTGCGTGAGATAACGGTGCTGAGCGGTTCACTCGTTCTGACTGCATCAAATACATGATGCCACACACGCTCATTGCTCACGCGGTTCTTCCACCAGACATCAGCCAAGCTGCGAAGGCGTCGATGGTCGGACGTGAGTGGCTTCTTTATGTCTGTCCACTTGATGGGCCAGGTTTCGCAATCATACAGTAGGGTTGAACGAACGGCTGCATTGTAAACTGTACCCTTCAGGGCGAGAGTGATATCGCACCGGCGCCATAGGTGCTGAGGGTTAGCAAAAGTGCTTCCATTTGTTTTGCGGTTTGTGATCTTATCTTCGATCCCACCGGCGTTACTACAGCAATCTAGATACTAGAATTTCTCGACGACGTCTAGCTGATCAGCACCAAGGGCCAGGGGAAGGGAGGGTCCCTGCGAGTCTTGAAGGACTTTGAACTTGAGGGCGCAAAGTACAGCCCGAAACGATTGGCAGACAGTGCCAAAGAGTCTAGTGCTACCTGGCACGTTTGCAAGCTAAGGGCAATGTCGTCGGTGTAATCTAAGTCAAAAAGTCATTCACCAGGAGGCAGCTCCACGCCTTGCAGTTGGCATCCAGCGAACGCAGTTTCCATGAGTTCGTCAATGGCGAAATCAAAAAGGAAAAGTGACAGCGGGGATCCTTGTCACACATCGCTGAAGAAGGACAAAGAAAGTTTGCCGTAAGCCCTCACTCTGCCCGGACTATGCGCGCACAGCGCTCTTAGGACATTTACATGTTTCGCGGGCACATCTTTCCTCAGTAGACAGTCCCGAAGGGTACATCGATAAACCGAATCAAAGGCACCTATCATGTCGTAGAACACGACTACGGTGGCTCACCGATTAATATGGTCGTGCTCCAACAATTGACATCATGTGAAGAGGTGACCAATATAGTCGAGACTGTGACGAAACACCGCTTGTTCCTGGCGAATCTGGCTTTCATGTGGGCCAGCAAGTCTATGAAGAACGACGGAGGCAACCATCTTAGAGGCAACTGAGATCAGACTGATCTTTCTATGACGGCTGTATTTAGAACGTGAGACCCCCTTGAAAGCGGACATTGTAAAGCGGCCCCAGTCTGCTAGGACAGCTCCCGGCTTGGCGGCTATCCCCAAGAACTATGTACAGAGTTCTAAACCCAGCTCGGCTAATCCTACCTGATGAGTCCAAAACAAGACGAAACCATCCGTCGTGGGGCATAGGGAAGGGCGAAAACCACATCGAAACTCTCCACCCATCAGTGGAGAGTTTTCTAACTTGAGCGTTCAGATCGAAAGCTAGGATCACAGTATGTGTACTTTTCCTGTGATGGAGATCGTTCACAGTTGATGATAGAATTCACCCTTCACGAAATCAGCGCTAAAATTTGTGGGCGCGTAGGCCGCAATGACAAACAGGTGTCATCATCATCAACAGCAGTACACTAGCCATTTGAACTGATGCTTCGCTACCATACAACCATGATGACTTTAGGAACGAAGAGTAATAAGCAACTATTCAGGGGCAAGACGTCTACATTTTATCAACAGCATGTCATCAACAAACAGCTGGCCATCATGCAAAAATAAGGCAGCATCGGCAAAAAAGTTCCTTGCGGCTTTCACTGTCCCACATCATAATCAGCCATTACCCCGCAGATAACTCAGCACCAGATACACTTTAAACAAGCAGTCCGATTACGAAACAACAGAAGATGCGCCACTGGTGTCGACTGCGATCCAAGTCCCAAAAGGTCTCGAGCCAAACACAACGCGAGTCACGTGGACTGACGCCTGGAAGATGAGGCGGACCGACGGCGCCCAGTTTGGTCGTCAGTAACTTCATTTCCCGCTGCCACGTTAATTTTTGCCCACCTCGAGCTTTGCGCCACCCTACATCTGGCAAACAAAACAAGGCCCTCCTAGGTAAAGGGTGACCGGTCATACGTAGCAAGTACCCAAGCCAACGCAACTTATTCAGTGCTATCTGTTGTTCCAAAAAGCTAGCTTGGTTATGATTACCTAGCACTCGCCTACGCACATCATCGTTGCGGATACGCTGGTGACATCCGACACTAGCAATGCACCGCAGACAGCGATGATCAAAGATTTAAAGGTGTCACAGACCTTCAGACCGAAGGGGACAAGTCTCACTTCCATAGAGTAGGACGTGCCTCACACGGATTTTCAAACGGAAGGAAATCCCATTCTGTCGCCAAAGATGTTGCAGAATCAAGAACGCAGCTCTGGCTTTTGTGATACGTGAACTGACTTCAGAAGCTATGCTGATACAACTGCAAAGGTAAGTGAACTGAGCAACCACCTCGAGTTCTGCGCTATCTAGGGTCAAGGGATCATCAATTGACTGGTGGTCCTGCAGAAACACTTTGTACTTTGAAGGCGCGAAGCGCATGCCAAATAATGGGACTACTCTAGAGAAGCTAATAAGAGTTGATTGCGCTGGCCCAACATCGTTAAGCAGCAAATCGATATCGTCCGCATAATCAAGATAAACTAGCTTCTCACCAAGCAGCACCTCGACGTCTGCATCATGAGGCTCTACGATGGAGTCCACGACGAAATGGAACAAAAATGGGGAAATTTGACAACACTGACGAACACCACTTGTTGTCGGAAAGCTATCCGACAGGTCACCGTAGACACTGACGCGTTCTTTAGCGTTCGAGCAGAGTACGTAAGATGTTCACATATTTCATGGGAACACCTTTCCGTGCAAGTATTCCGAACACGACGCATCGATCGACTGAGTCAAACGCACTCTTGAAGTGGAAGAACACAGCTATTGTCGGTAGGCGTTGCGCTGCTTTACCACCACCGGCAGAGTGAAAATGTGGTCTACAGAACCACGTCCTGGACGGAAACGTGCCTGCTCTTCCTTAGTCCGTGGTTCCCGTTCACAATAAGGCGACAAACAGAATTGAGGTCAGTACTCTTGTTACAACAGGAGTTAGGCTAATACCCCTGTGGTTAGCACGGTATATTGTATTTTGGCACTAAAATCGATTTGCTTCAGTTGGCCGGGACGGTTTTCTCCTCCCATACAAGTTCCAACAGGGATGTCGGTGCTTTGCAGAGGACCTCACCTCCATACATAAATAGTGCAGGTGACAGGGAATCCGGGTCAGCAGCACCGTTTGTCTATGCGCGAGTCTTCAAAGCTCTGAACGAGCCAGCCAATCTAACGGCGCACATCCGGCCGTTCATTGGGATCCAGTCAAACAGGGCAGCTTCAGGCCGGGGACTCGAACAATGCCCATAACGGCTTGACCAGTATTTGAAGCTACGTTATATCCAGACAAACGCTATATAATCGCGCCTCTAGTGTCGCTTGTGGAGGATCGTAGGGTAATCACGGAACTCGGATATTGCAGGCGGGTTACCGATAAGCAGCTGATGTCGGTCGACAGAGACCCAAGTGTTCGGGCAAGTGCTGTCTGTTGGGCGATTTGCAACAAAGTGCGCAAGTTGAGGAATGCCAGTCTTAGCAAGGATCGGGAGCTCCAAATAGAAACGGACGAACTGACGTTGTCCGCATGGTTGAACATGGACTAGTTGCCAGGAATGGACCGACGGCCTGCTAGTGCATGAGTCGAGACTAGAAGCCTAGCGGACCAAGAATTAGAGGGTTGAAAACATGAGGGAATAAAAGTGTAGATGGAGTGGGGCAATAAGGATGAAAAAGCGCAAGAGTGGGAGTAAGAAGACGGGAAGGCTTGAGCAATAGCGTCCTTACCCCTATCTAACCTGCTTGATGCAGCAGATAGGGCGCCGTTTATTATCCTCTGCGGCCACCAGAGCATCAATAAACCGTGTGGAGAGAAGTTCATAGTTGTATTGCACAGGTACGATATTGTCAGATTGCCCAGGCCTAGACATGAGAACGATTAGGGTTCCCAAACAAAACCTTTGGTTCAAAAACCTGACCGCAAGGCAGCGGGGTTGTGGCGCTGGTCTACAGAATTCGTTGAGTAAGGAGCCACTCTCATTCCAGCTCCAACCTGGAGGGTCAGGAGACTGAGTATGTATGACTTCTAACCATGGAGCAATCTAGTATGAGTAGCTATGAAGGTGCGGAAAAGCACTTCCTAGCATAGCTCAGTGGATCGCTTAGGCAAACAAATTATCACACCACGTTCAGGTCCAGTCTCTTCGCGATGGTGTTGAGCAGCACGACTATGGGGTCGCCAATAAGTATGGTGGTGTTCCAACAATTGGCGTAATGTGAAGATGTGATAGATAGTGCTACGAGTTCGACGAAACCTGGCTTACTCCTCAAGAATCTGGTTTACACGTGTGCCAGTCAGTCCATGAAGGATGATAGAGGCAAGGAACTTAGAGGCTATTGAAATCAAATTGAATGAACTATGAGTGCCGCATTCCGAAGGGGAGCCCCCTTGAATATTGGGACTATAACGGAGCTACCCCAGTCTGTTACGAAGGTCTCGCTTCCGCACATTCACTAGTTATGAAAATAATTCGTAAGAGCAGGTCCATTGAATTTGAAGACGGCTGGATGAAATCCAGTGGCCTGGTTTACTTGCAACAGTCTAATCTGACGTTTGACTTCTGCCCGTGAAGGCAGGTCCAGGGGGACAGCTCAGGGAGAAAGGCAACCTATGGCCGACAGGGAAGCAGGTAACTGGCTGATTAGGCTACGCGAAACATAGCGGAATAATCTGTCTTGTTCTGATTGCATGAAAGTAAAATCTGGTTAGGCAAGGATCCATTACAGGGAGAGATTCAGGGTTATCAGGAGAATGTTACAAATACACGACAAGCCAAAGTTCAATGTTAGTAAGCATAGGGCATCATACATAAAAATGCACAGGATATGTTAAGGTGAGTTACCGCAATAAACGCTTCAAATGGCGATGACACCGTCTGAGCAACTTCTGTTTTTTGGAGTTGGGTACAGCAGGCCCTTGAGGAGGGAAAGAAGGCGTAGCTGGGTTCGTGGGGGAAGGATCAGAAGAGTTGGAGGGGAAACCAGTTGACGAAGAGGAGCCAAAGTGATGAATGACAGATGAGGGCATAAATGAGCTTGGTAATTGGACAATTAGTGGTTTTGTTGACTGCGATGGGGAAGTAGGTGTTGGTGGACCATATATGGTGGCTGGATCCGGATCGCGAGAAACCGAGGAACCAGAACCCTCGAGGAGTGTTGTGCCTGTCCGGATCCTCGAAAGCCCTGTGGCTTCAACGAAGGACTTAGTCACTCTGCTCTGCGATCCCGACATAACAGCATTCATATGAGACTTAAACATACAGGTAAACCGCCATACGGGACTCAGTATTCACCAGCAGTAAAGAACGAGCGCGACCTGAAATAAACGAGGCAAATTCGAGTCAGAAATGTGTGGATTTGTGTACCCGTTGAACATAATGAGGTTTAAATGGAAGCGATGCTGTGTAGTTCATTGAGGCACTTTGACCTAATTTGTGTGAACAAAGCGCGGAAGCCGTAAATGAGGACTATCGCGCTTCTCCAAGCTAGTTTGAAGTCAAATGATACGCTGTAGATTCGGAAGAAAATTGTATAGATTACTGGCGCGATCGTTACTCATTCTGCTCACACCATAGTGGCACAGGGCAACTACAGAAAAACAGTGGAGAAAAAGGAGGGAAGCAAAATGACACACACACAAAGATAGAAGTCATCACATACAAAATGACAACTGAAGTCAGCAAGCGGACTGTCAAAATGATGTACGGCAATAAGAAGGGTTGATGGTGTATCACTGCAATGATTCCAGGTGATTTCGCAAAACAGTGATAATTCCAATGAACTCCAAGATCAAATAACGTTTCGGTTCCTTAGGCGGCATTTGAGCTCTGTATTTGTCAGCTCGCATCAAATAGTCCGGATAGCAACGGATGTATCATGACAAGTGGTTGAAGTATTCGTGGCCTTGTAGGAGCAAATATAGGCTGAATAACGACACGAAAGTAAAGTTTGCGCGTAGGACAGACAAAACCGTTCCACCAAGCCAAACAAATGATGCTGCGAACTCTGCCGGTATGGAAAAAGAATTGCAATCCATTATGAAAGAACGATTGATCATAGGGTGCTTACAAGGACCACGCTGATTCGGTGATGCTCAAGTCCATGCGCAATGCGATGGCTAAATGTGTTTTGTATGTGCCCGCCTGTTTTTTATGATTGTGGTTGTACATAGGTGGATCCGCGTCCCATATGTGCAGTTGGCGAACTGTGATCTGCGTACTAAATTCCAGTGAATTCTAGTGACACGACTCGAGCCGCAAAGGAGGAGAGATGACAAACGAGAGGAAAACGCAGGACGCACAAAGATGTTGGAAAAAGGCAGAAGACGGGCGCAAACGTCGAACAAAAAGTCTAGAAATAAGCAAAAAATGAGAGATCGCCACTGACTTCGCGATCGCATCGCATCAGATGAGGTTGCTACGCAATGTGGCCCATTCAAAGGCCCACCATCCAGAAACAGGACATTAACCGCTCGACAAACTATTCTAAGGGACAATTACTTTGTTCTCATTCGCTGTGTTGTCGGTTGACCCCTCTGAAGTCCATAAAGGAGACAAAAACGCCTGAGCAAACGGGAGCAGTTCATGATAGTTTGGTGGTGCATTGGATGTTCATTTTGCTTAACCGGCGGTGATCCCACTAGAGATGGGCTGTCACGCAGGTGCACTAATGGCCAAAGAGAGCCAGCCTCTCAATGCCTCCGAAGTGTAGTTTCCATATCTATGAACCGCAAAATAACAACAGATACATCGCAGAGTTCAATTTCTCCACCCCTGATTGATGAGAACGTATTTTATCAACCCCATAGAAAGTGAGTGCTTTGAAAAGACACACTCATTGCATGCCTCTTGAGCCGCATGACCGGTAGAGATGACTTAAATACCAAGTTAAGCAGGTTGATTCCACACTTCAAATGGTCCTTCAGTGACGGAGTAAATTAGAGGCTTGGCTACCCAACGCAGCGTCTCCAAGAATGAAAGTAAAAAGTACCTGCCGAAGCGTGTAGAGCTCGTAACAGGCCGTTTGGAATTATTTGCAAGGTGGCTGGGCGCGAAGCAAGAAGAAGTAATTCGTCTGCGTTTGCTAGCCAGTCATGTTGCAGAAAAGTTAGTCTAGAAGAAACATAGCACAGAAGCGGCCGCAATCTTTCAGAGAACATAGTTAAGGAAAAGAAAGAAGACAGAGCTACTTTTAAAGTAAGATTTTTGCGAAGAAAACAAAATGAAGCTTCTAATGGACAAGAACATGTTCTCGAAGCAACAGTAAAGAGATGTAAAAAGAGAAAAGATGCCCCCTGGCATTTCCTCCCAAGATAAGCGCAATCAAGTGGAATCGAAGTAGATGGGGACCAATATGGTAGACCGTTTGCCCATGATATTACAGCATCAGATGGGACACCGAAAAAGGGACACCAGCAATGCACCGAAGACCGTGATGATCAAAAACGTAAAGGCACCTTAGATTTTCAGACAGAAGGGGCCAAGTAGCACTTTTACAGAGTAGGATGGCCCTACCTGTGGTCTTGTATACACGGCCTTTCAAATGAAGAAAAACCTCTTTCTGACGCCAAAAATGTTGCAGATGCAAAAAAGACAGTTCTAGCTTTTGCAATGCGTGAACTGATTTTGGCTGCGAATAAGGTGATTCGAAAAACGGTTCTTGGCCGGTGTGTGGCTATACTTGGGCTAGCTGGGTGACTCAAGTAGTTAGTACTTAAAAGCCATGGTTTCTGACTCAGAACGGTTCGCGATATATGTTATTTGCCCTAGCGTTTAGCAGATGAAGGCTTCATAATCCAAAGCTCAGAGTGCCGTCACCTAAGTCAATGCTATGTTCTGACTTGGGCAGTCGTGGAGACTCATTTACAAAAAAAATGTAAGGGCGCATGTAGCTACGAATTCCTGCACTATGTCTTCGCTGACAGTCGGTTCCGCAAAATAACTGCTACTTGCTTTATTCCAACTCTGTTAAACTCCCGCATCCTCGATACTCCTTCTGATCCCAAGCCCCCGACAACATGCTACATGGAGCGACAGTTCTGACCGTGTCGATGAGCGAGCAAAGACCGACCGCGTTCCACCCAATCGCGCAGGCAAGGCATTTGTAATCCCAATTCGCAACTAGATTCGACTATCTTTAGTGCTACGACACTCATACGTTTCCATTTTAGGAATGATTAAGTTATGGTCCATTATACTGACATGTTCTTGTTACTCTGCTACTACAGGCGTATCGCGCGAAAATTTTTTATTCACCTAGTGCATCAGAATTGATAGTTCTGTTTCTATTTATGTCATGATAGTTGTCCTCAATAGAAAGCATTTGAATTTGCTAAATGAGACTGAAGTAACACATTAGCGACAATGTTTGCTAACATCATCCTTGCTTGCTCACTTTTGTTTCATTTAAAGGTGACTGGTAGCCAAATGGATTGCACGCGTGGTTTGCAATCCTTAGGTCGCCAGTTCGAACTGCATATGGGTGGGCGTCCTCGTGGTACACTCAGCCCACGAGCGACCGGTGGTGGTCGCGTGGCAGTGAAGTGTCGGTACAGTGTGCCGGCGTAATACTGATGACTGACTGACTGGGGACAATCATACAAATAGATCGCAAACAACTCATTCTCGTAATCTGGAAGCCCTCACAATCGATAAGTGTCGGCTCGCTGAAACCCGCCACAAGACTCCGGCACAACCCTACGACACATCGCCATTTGCGTGTTCCGATGGAGCACCACACCTATAAGGAGATGCGACTGCTGAGGCTACGGGCCAGGCAGACGTGGGTATCGCGTTAAGTTCGCACTCGGAAATAATGCTACTTGACTGGATCTCAGTAAATAGCCAACACCGTGTAATACGGCTAAAAAGCTTTACTTTACTGTATAGCCACAAAATCACAAAATGTTAGTTCGTCATAGTGCTGTATACTTCCGCGGATTGCAAACAAGACTCAACTAAGGATGAATCCCACCATCAAGTCTCTGACCTCTGCAATGAGCGCCGCACGGATATCGTGGTCGGAAAAATCGAAGATGAACGCGATCTATGGTCAAGGATGGTCGTGATACTCGCAGGGCAGATAAAGGTGATCGCATCCTCCGTCTCTGTACTGACCACGTTTTACTCTGCTCGAGTACTAACTGTTGGTGCTCTTGGTGCCAGCGCGTCACGTGGTGACCCGCTTCGCCTGGATAGTCGTGGACACAAATTGACCACAGCTACATCAGCTACAGTTGATGAGGTTGCGAAACAGTCCGAAAATCAGGTTGAAATACTAGTCTCATATTGGAACAAAAATTTGTGCGCTCAAGCTGTGTGCTTTGTGGCAGCATACAACTTTATCGGATACGGCTTGTGTTGTCAGACTTATCGCTATAAGCATACTCAGCGCCTTTTGGAGTGCGTTAACTTCTGATCTAAAGAGCCCCGCACTCCCAAACATCGAGCACAAAGGCAAAGTGTCTTTCACAATCCTGTCACCGTCATCTACGACCCCACTAGGCACATCATCAACCATAGGATTTCCGCACGCCTGGTCAGCCCGATGAAAAGTACAATTGGCATTGGTTACAATTCCCCGCACAGAAGTGTGAAGGTGGAGCTCAAGTATCAGCGAGAATCGCGAAGACCGACGAACGCAACGCGTCAACGAGATGTGACAGGTTGCTCTCACGGGGAACTTTCGAAATCTGTTCCCCTTATACTGTTCACTGGCCGGTCAGTAGATCACCAGTCAGAGCAAAGGAGATATAGGACAATCCTGGTGACCACACTTGTCTTGGAGAACCCTGGAGACAGATTTCCGTAGACTTACCCGGCTTCAAAAGTCAGTACAGAAAAATCAGAATAGAGAGGAGTTTAGCTAGTACATCTTTCACGGATACGCAGCGCCACAAGCTAGCTCGATAAACAGAGCCATAAGGGGCTTTCATCTTCATCATCATCATTACACTTGTCAGCTAGAGATGGTAAAACACCTCCGCTATTGTACCGCAATACATAAAGGAAATACATACATACATACAATACATAAAGGAAAAATAAATACGACAGTTGAATGCCAGCTGAGCTACCAGCAACGGATACGCATCGTTCCGGCAAGCTACTAGCCGGCTACTAGGCAAAAACAAAAATTTAATTACGTTTTACCCTACGAAATAAGATCGTAGATGGAGGGGGAGGCTAAAGGGATGGGGAGGGACAAAGAAACTCACAGCAGGAACGCCACTGAGGTCGGCTCCTTGCCATATCAGCAAGTGTATCCAGCCAAACGTGTTCATCGTCTTTTGGACCCCAACCAGGGAGCCGTGACGCT